TGGGGAAGATTCGGTAAGGAGATTTTATCAAACAAAAAGTTTGGGGAGCATGTGCATACAGTCATTTTTAATCTTTTAATTGTAGTTTCAGATGATGTGCATGCAAGCACACAACTAGAATAAGTTGCTTGAAGAGATGCCGAACCTCAATTCAACTGTTTTTTTTTTCTGAATTCAGTACCAGATTTTGCTGCGTGGGTGTTGGTATGAAGTGTTTGGAGGAGATCCAGATAACTTCCCAACTGAGCTGGATGGTAGAAGCCAAGATGCCCTCACCCAGCCACTTCTGGCTGAGGAGAGTTTAATGGTTCATCGGTCACCTTCATACAATGCCCTTGAGGATGAATCGCACTTAAATTCACCGCCTCAGTATCCTCACCTGTATCTTCCTGGAAAGATTATCCACATTGTAGAAGAATCCAGCTCTAGGAGGTAAGTAGAATAATATCTTGCTTTCCTAACATCTACTTAAAGCTGCTTCTCACTTTCAAAGTACGTTTCCAGCTCTGCTGCTCATCTGCATCTCCGATACCCATCTTTGGTTATTACGCATTAGCTAGCCTCTCAGTTTTTATTCTGTGCCTCCCTGCTTCTTTCTGTTTCACTTAAAGCCCTGGAAACTGTTTCTTTTTACGCACATATATTGCATGTGCGCAGGTGATGGTTTTAAACAGTAAGACTGTTAAGTTCAGCTTGGGCATGCTGCGGTTCCTACCTGAGACTGCAGATCTTGCAGTCTTATGTCCTGGTGGTGGTGAAGTGGTAACAAAATACCTAGTTATTGAGTACTCACATGAATATTGGTGATGAGAAAGAGATAAAATATTGCCCATAATATCGGCCTGGCCAGACTGGAGAGGTCCAGTTGCCCCAGTAACCAGCGTGCCCATGCAGCCTCTAGTTTCCTGTCCTTTGCTGGTTTTTTGTGGACGCAAGAAAGTGAGACAAAGACAACAGAAAAGCTGAAACTGCTGGAAGGGTGAGGATTGTGGGTTTGTTGGGGCGATGTTGTGTTTAGGGTTTTTTTTTTTTTTGTTTGTGTTTTGTTGATGTTGGTTTTTTTAGACAAAACAACGTGAAACAGCCCACAGGCTAGACAGTACTTGCTATCCTCCCTTGTTTCATTCTGAAACAGAAATAAGAGCAGCTGTAACTTGCACAAGACCATCTTACAGAAGAAAAAAAATCCTGTACTTTACAGAAGAGGATAGAAAAGGGCTAGAGAAGAAATCCACTGTTTTTCCTCCTGTTCAGTAGATTAGTATTTTATTTAAGCTTCAGATCTTTAACGTTTAACGATTTTAATACTGGTTTTACGGGTTAGATACTTTAACACCTCTGACGTGGAAGGTTTTCTCAATGGCTGCTCTTCCACTTTACTTTATTGAGTTTATTTCTTTCCCTTATGTCACAGCACAGCAGTTAATTATGGGTTTTTTTCTTAATTGGACTAGCATCATGTGCTCTTCTGTAAAATAAAATCCTAAATACATCGAATGTGCAGCATTAAATCTAGTGTCTAGTCTCCTACTGATACCACTGTGACCTACTCCCTGAATTTGACATTAACTGTGTGAAGGGGCAGTGCTTAACCCCTCATCCCCCTTTGCTCAGACTGCATTCCGTGTTTCTTTGAGCAGGATTATTTGATAGCTTCTTTCACTGTTAAGGCGCAATATAATTTGGCGTAGTTCTGCCTTCAGGGACGTTGAATGGCAGCGTTTCCAGCTGTGTGCTGAAGGTCAGAACCGTAGCTCTTTGGGGGCCCACCTTCCTGCTGTGAGGAGGGTCCAGTTCCTCCCTGAGCAAGGTCAGGAGTCTCCTGGTTTGGCACTGAGCACCACTTCTGACAGTCTGAGCCCTTGCCTTGTATTGGTGGTGTGTGGTGTGTTTGTGTTTTGTTTTTTTTTTTTTAGGTTGTGCTCTTCAGATATTAAATATACGGCAAGATGGTCAAACGAAACAGTCTTCAGCAGCATTTTAATTAGTCCCAAGATGATAACAGACCACATGCCAGATGTTGTGCTCAAAGCTCTGAACAGTTTGTCTCAGGAACATGGATCTTGTATTTCTTGTCAAACACGAGAATGTAACACCAATGTAGTATAACCACAGCTTGAAGGCGAGGTGTGTGGGTTTTTATTGCAGGTTTCAAGTATTCAGGACACATTCATTCCACTTTCATATGTAAGTGGTTTTCAGTACTTTTCTCACATTGCATAAAATAAACAAGGGTCCTAATGCCCTTGCCTCTGCAGTGACCACGAGTAATATTTTGCTGGTGAAAGCACAGATTCTGCGCTTATGCAGAAGGTTGAGCTTTTACAAAAAATGGAACAGCATGACAAGGTCTAGCTCAGCCTGTGTACGCTGGCGCATGAGAGCTGAGGCATCAACTGAATACTTGACAAAAGCGAGCGCGTACGTGAGGACAGCTTGGCCTACGCGTTAGAGCAGAGCCCTGTCAGACCTTAAAAAAAAACCCACAATCCAGTTCTGCTTCAAACTCACTTCATGCTGTTGTCTTAGCGCCCCGTGACTGCCCTTTGCAGAGCCTGGAGGGTGATGTATGACAGGAGTGCTATGGCAGCACCCCGGGGGCTGGAGGTGGGTACGTGCACAAGTCTGCGGTGGGCGGCAGCGTGCGGGCAGGCCGCCCCATGGGTCTTTAATTGGGCAGTTCTGATTGCACTATTTTTCTTACAGATTGTGGTAGTATCCCAAGGCAGGGGGCGTGTTGTGGTTAAATGCTGCTTGGATATACATGTGCAATATTCTTTAATCTACCTGTCTTTTGTATGTGTTGGTCTTTACGACTACTTTTATTGATTTTAAACTAAACTAATGCTATAACTACTTAACAAGATGGAAAAAAAGAAAATATTGTTCATGCCCTGGCATCGTTATCATCACTAGCTCTGACTACCAAGAACACCAATCTAGTTCTGCCAAAAATGCATAACCAGTTTTACTGATTTTAAAGACGTGGATTCCTTGTTTCTAGTGTGGAACTATTTTAATTTTTTTTTTTTTTTTAAGACTCGGCAGCATTTCTTATTTAAAAAAAAATCGATAGAAATACATAAAAGTAAGATGATGTGGTTGAAAATAACTGTATGGATGTTCTTGCTGTGATACTTAATATGGAGACAAAATAAAATGCACTCTAAAAACCTCTCTTACTACATTCAGGAATGCTGGGTGTGACAAAAGTGACTAGCTTATAGCTGTTGAAACAGCTAGATGCCATGCAGCAAGGTAAGCCAACACCACTAGTGAGGGCCTAGCACGTGCTAGTGGTGCTGCTTTCAGGGTACCACAGCATCACCCACAACCTCCCCCGGAGTAAGACTAGCCACTGGGGCTAGGGCAGGGCAGCAAGCTGTATGCTACTACCCTGGGGGCAGGGGAGCTAACAAGCATACAGCATAGCTATATATTTAAAAGGCTAAAATCTGAGGCATTTAAGCACAAACTATTTTACAAACTGTTGAAGTACCAGCTTTAGAGGAAAAGCACTTTTGTTTGCATGCAATAGAGGAAAACAGGCATTTTTTCCCTAGTTGTCAGCAGCTTTAACATGTTGCATAAGCAGCAGTGGGAGCTAGTAACAACTCAAATGACAAGGCACTTTGCCATGTACCATATTTAATTCCGGTTCTTAACATTAGGGCGCCACTGAAAGAGCCCGCGGTAGCACACGCATCCCTGAGGAGACAAGTACGCCATGCTGCTGTTGGCTTCGGAGGAAGAACACTTATTCATAGTGGTACAAGGATGAGAACACTTGCTCAGAAACTCAAACATTACCACACACGTGATTCAAGGATTTATTAAGTCATACATGCAAAACATACTGCTAATTGCATTAGCAAAAGATCAATGTAAAAACTTCACAATTTTGCAACTTTTATTTTTAAATTTTGCTTTAGTGGTTGAAAGGGTGTAGTTCAACATTGTATTCCTGCCAGTTTAGGATGTACAGAACATTAGCACTAATTTACAGAACCTCACAGACCCAAGTTACCATTACTCAATCTATGCTGCACATGTACATGTAGTGACATAAAGAACACTTGTCTGCATTAGTAATGTTACAGTGGTGGGGATATCTGGCAAATAGTGATATTTGAGAAGGTTCATAGTTTATAGAGGTTTAAAATATAAAAATTACTAAAATGTGTAAAGCTGCTTCACATGATTTTTACACCTAGTTAATAGACTAAAAGCTCCTCAGAAAGCATATAACTTACTGGGTCAGAAATAACGAAAATAAGGAGGATATGCTTGAACATTCTACCCTGGGGGGGAGGAAAAAAAAGCAAATTTCTATCAGCAGAAAGGTTTTTAAAATACAAGTTATATTGCTCAGTAAGAAGAAATTCTACAAGAAAAGCATTTACTACACAAGAGTTGTGGGAATGACTGGTTCAGAACTGTACCTCAATGAATGCCCTGCTTGAAATTCAAAGGAATTTACCTCTGAACACCAACCCCTCGTCCACTACTGCACCTCTGGGAAAACTGGGAAAATGGTCGCTGATTTTAACCTGCACTAAAAGTCAATTCAGTTTCAACTACCCTGGCAGTGTAGCGTGAGTCATCTGTACAGTGTCAAAATACTGTCTGGCACTATCACTTGATCCAACCCAATATTTCATTTATCCATCACAATAAATGCTGTCAAAAGGACTAGATACACTTTAGTAAGAATAGTTAGTTATTTATTTTTTAAATCACAGCAGCAAGAACTAGATTGCAACCGAGCCCTTACCAATGATAAAGCATTTTACACTGTGACTCAGGGGTGTCAGTCATTGTCAAAGATTTAGGTTCGATATACAACGCTATGCAATGACTGTGGGTTGAGAAAAACATGTAATAATAAAACACATTAGAGTGCAGTGTTCTGCTAATTATACGGTACTGTTACTTACCGTGAAAAACTAGAAAGTGTTTTTGCATTTCCTAACAGAAATTAGAGTCATCTTCAAGAATAATCTTTAAAAAACAGTTTAGTGCTTAGTGTTCATAGCACAACGATGCAACTTAGTTCAGCAGATAGTTTGGCAACACTTAATTGAGCAAGAATAGGATTTTAAAAATAAGGCTTTACATAGGTTTGTCTTTTCAGGAGTTTGCTTTTAGAAGAATGCAAGGTAGCTTTCATACTTTAAACAAATGAAACCGTGAAATCGTTGATTGATTCAAGAATTTATGGAAGAGAACTAATTTATAACAGAAGAACTTGGCATTGAGTGTGAATGCTCCATTGTTCTGAGCAAAGCACAGGGTTTGGAGTGGGCTGGGGAGGGTGATGTTTACAGCAGCAGACATTTTCTCTTCCTCTTCTTTACAGGAGGGGGGCACAGAACTGCTCGGATAGCTTCATCAAACACTGTCTTGAGGCCTCGCTGCGTAAGTGCTGAGCATTCTAGGTATTTCACTGCACCTGTGGAAAGCAAAGAGGCAATTACAAAGCAGTTTTCCACAATTACAGCAGCACTGCTAGCTAACTCCACAGAAGCCAGGTATTTATTTTAATTAAGGTACAACATCTTCCACAAACAAAGTTTAGATCAAGTTAACAATAACCCGTTGCCATCATACCAATCTCTTTTGCCATGGCAAGGCCCTGTGGGTAGGTGATAGGAGTCAGCTTCTTCTCCTTCAGTTTTTCAATAGTGTCCTTATCATCCCGGAGATCGAGTTTGGTACCCACTAAAATGATGGGGGTGTTGGGGCAATGGTGCCGCACCTCAGGATACCACTGCAAAAAAAACAGCGTGGGTTGTGTGTGTGGGCAGATTTCCACAAAGGCTCTCGAACGTTACGACCAAAAGGCTCACAGTCCTTCATGAGTCAGTTAAAGGGTAAAGGGGAGAACGCAAGACCCCATTAAGCAGTATTAAAAGAGCACACAATTGCAAAACATTTTTAATGAAGCCAACAGGTATTTCTATATACTTTAAAAATTTACCCTGTTAAGAGCTGTGTTTTTTCCACACACCAGAAAAACCCTGATCTGCACTTCCCCCACCCATGGAGACCACCTCTCATTTGTGAGGTCTCCACAATGCCATACAGCTGAGTTGCCCAAGGACATGAAAGACTGCAACAGCAGCAGAGCATGTGCCAGAATGCTGGCTGATTCAAGAAACAACTGGTATCAACCTAATTTTTACATTCATTTGTTTTTTAATATTTTTCTTTAAATTGCATTAATTTAAATTCTGATCTTAGCACCTTCTTGGCTCAAAACTCTTGAACTACTGTTACCCTATCAATGCATCAAGGAACAATTCATACTTGGAGTGTTTCACATGCCCTGAAGTCCCATGACTTAGGAGTTAGGCAAATGGATTTCTGCCCTTTCAAACTACATTTCACATTGCCTGCCAAAAAAAAAAAAAGCCTAATATTTTCCAGGCGCTGCTGTAAAGTGAACACTACATTGAACCCTGAGAAATAAAATGAGACCAGCCCTGTACTTACCTTAGCACGGACATTTTCAAAGGAAGCAGGACTCACAAGAGAAAAGCAGATTAAGAAGACATCCTACAAAAGAAGTTGATAGAAGTCAGCCCAGCAGAGCAACGACTATAAAATCTCATCACCATGAAGAGGCCAATATCACCAGCATCTATATCACACTCATCGATATCACACTTGCAAAAGGCAAGGTCGACAATACAGTTGCACACAACAATCAGAGGTAGCTTTCCCAGTGGGAAATCCATTCCCAGGCAGCTACACCAACAACAAATAGATCATAATCAAGTTTATAATCATCTATTGCAGTAGCCAGCAACTAAAACACTAATACCATCGCATTGCAAGCTTTTCGCCCCCCTAAATGTCATTTCTTCTCCCTCACTGACATTCAGGAGGAAAAAAAAAAAAAAAAAAAAACCACAAAAGAGACACACTGCAGATCCTTGACGAACACAGGAAGCCATGAAGAGTTGTTAGACTGGCTTCTGAAATGGGGCTGGATGCTCTTTGCAGATCTCTTAAGTGATTTAAACCTTGAAAGATGTGACTCATCAGCATAGGATGTTGCAAAGTGTTAACCATTGGCACCGATTTTTTTAAATACAAATATACTATTATATACTACTCTAAAGTAGTCTTAAATTGCAAAGGCAAAGTATACAGTATTGAATAAGAAAAAAAATCATACAATAATTTCTACAGTTATTACTTCCATGCCCAAGTCAGAAGAATCTTGCAGAACTGTCACTTCTACTGAATGTCAGTATAAAAAGACTTCAGAATTTCTCTATAACCAAATTAGGATTGAGAAAAAAAACCTTGAAAGCTCCCTCCTTTCCTTTCTAAATATGAGAAAGCAGAGAGAAAAGTGGGTGTTTTAAGGGATCTTGCATAACTCACTTTTCAATTGAAGGCAAAACCAAAGATTGTAAGTAAGAGCAGGTAAAAACATTTTAGAGCAAATGCTTACACTAACTGCCTTACAGTATACACTTCAAAAAACCCAACAAGCTTCACACATGACACACTGTAGTCTACAAGCACTCAGAATAACCACAAAATTAATTTTTGCTGTCTAAACAGATGAAGACTCTAATCTTGCTGTACGACCCAAAACTCAGTAAGGATCTCTCAAACAAGCCCAACGTTCCCCAACCTACCTCTGCATCCGTACTTATCCCAGTATCAAACGTGTTAAAGAATCAGGCGTTTCAGAGTGTTAGTTGATTGTGCTGCATTTCAAGGCATTTTGTTAGGTCAGCATCTGACATCTGCACTGCTAAGCACTTGCAACCCAGTTGTTCATGCATCACCCCAACAAGTTTCCGTAGCAGCGTCCCAGAAGAAGAAAGAAACAACATCAAATAACGTGATACTATGGCCACTACTTCTGTTTTCCAATTCTGCAGGTTTGTGGCGACTGAAGTTCTGCACATTACGCAGACTCTCTCTCCTTTACTAGCTCCAGAGATCAAAAAATTCACTGTAACCATGAGGAATTATTTGAAGATTTCAGGAGTCTTACACACTACCAATCTTAATAAGTAGGAGGAAAAGCTATTTATTTGCAAGAAAAGGTTTAGTCTTAGCAACTCGTATAAAGAGATTTGGTAACAGAGTTCTCAGATCTAGCAATTCGATAGTTCCAAGAAAACTAGTTGCTTAAAAAATAGGGGCCAATTTATCACTATCGTAAGCAAGACAAGATGACAGAACTTGGAACTGAAGTTTATTTAAAGTTTTACATACGGCAATAGGTTGATCTGTCAGACTGGAAGATATATTCTTACCATTGGTTCCTCCAACCTAATAACAGTAGGAGATAAAGTTACTCCTAAAATGGATTTAAGGGAAAACGTTCTTAGTCAGCGATTTGTGCTCACAAATACTCACAACATGGTTTTATCTTCTTAAGAGAGATGCTGCCCTACAATTCAGCACAACCAACTACCTGCATCCAGAACAGACCACCAGACTTCCCCATAAACCTGTAAATGTCTGTCTGCATTGTCAGAAGTAACTTGAAAGAGCAAACCTCTCATGAAAAGCATCCTCCTAACTTAATTTTCTTTTTGGTTTGATCTCCTGAGGAAACAAAGTTAACCACCTTTTCTGTCCCAACTTCTTCCTTCCCCAAATATTTTGCAATACTGGTAGATTTCAAATACATTTGGGAGAAGGTATTAAATTCCTGTATATTTTAAGGAAAAAAATAAAAATATGAATAAGGGAAAAAGATACAAATTAATGCCTCCGCTATGGCAAAGTTCTTACTGTGAAGTTAATAGCTACTGAACTGCTGGGTGGCTTATCAAGATACACATATTGGCCAAGTAATCAGCAATACCTGCTTTCACCTTGCCCAGAACATAGTTCAGGTGCACATACAGGGAAACAGAGGGCCACAAGAACATGTGAGGGGTGAGTTTTAAATAGCACAGTGAAGGAAGGGGGAGGCTGAATGCAGATCCTAAAAAAAGTCAGGCTTCATCAGCTCCACTGTTCTCTTCCTCTGTGCTTTTTATTAGTTTCATGGGGTTTTTTGTCCTTTAAGTGATGATGAATCTTACGTATTGCACAAGTCTAAAATCTGAAGACTGCTTCATAAGAAGTTCAAGACTTACCACCCTGTTCCATTTTCTGCTGTAAAAAACAATCTGAATAACTGAAAGTACTTCAAACCTTTACTTAACAGTTATACATACCTGTACAGAATAGATTTTTTTTTTACCAAAAGTATGCTTAGATTGACATGGAATTCTTTTGCAGGCTATCAGAAAGCCACAGTTATTTTAGCAGGCTGAAGACACGCACATGCATTCTGTCCCTTTGTCACAGGGGAGGAACAATATTCTCCCTTAAAACTCTGCTTTCTCACACTATTGAGTGATCTTTCAACATACCCTTTTCTACCCTGAGATACTTTTTTGAAAATATTTTTACAATGTTAAACAAAGCTTAAGTTCTCCTAAGTATCCTATAAATATCTAAATATTAGTGAAAAACAGCTTTCCATGGTTTCTCTTCCTAGAAAAATACTTCTAGGAAATGCAGATATTTCTGGCATTTCTACTAGAGTTGCCTACAACTGGCAAGTTCATATCCATCTTGGGTACCAAAACTGATGGGAAAGCCTAACTGTAAGAGTTAGTGAGCAGTGAATTAAGGAAAATTGTGAATTAAGACAGTTTACTTAAAAAAGCACCAGAGTTCATTAAGTAAGATTCACATTACTCAAGAGAGCAGTTATGCTGTAGAATAACTGGAACAATTTTGCATTTTACATTATTAGCATTGAATATAGATATCTGACAGTTAACAACAGCAGTAATCAATGCCAAAAAAACCCCTGCAAATTATCACCTTTTTTACTTATAGCACAGCTCCACCAGATAGAAGTAACTGCTCTAAAGAGACTAGAAAGCCAGTCTCTACAAAGATTAACTGTAGCTGAAGTCGCACTGGAAAGAAAAGAGCAGATTACTTCAGCATTTTCCTCATACAAGAAAAGATACAGCACGCAGACAGGACTTAACCAGTTGCAAGCATGGAAGACAGAAGCACATCTGTATTGATGTTATAGCACAAACTACAATAAGTAATAAAATAGCCATGGGCTTAAGTGTATTAGAAAGCTCTGACCCACCCTCTGTCAATACCAGTAGTATCTTCATTCAGTACTGCCTCTTTCACGTTTAGAACATATTCACAGAGACTAAACAATACCAAGTGCTTAGCAGTGACAGTGTCAGGTTGCAGCCAAACATCATGCCTAAAACCAAAAACAAACCCTGCTTTTGGCAGGCATGCTAACCTTAAAATCAGTGGACTAGCTGATGGGACTATTCACCAAAGGTTTTTTGGTTTGGGTTTTTTTTTTGGGGGTGGGGGTTGTTTTGTTTTTTCTTGTTTTAAATCATTCTAGCTGATTCTCAGGCTGCAACTACACAAAAGCCAACATGTATCAGTGCACGCAAATACACAAGCATGCAAATTTTAACCTTTGTACAACCGTACACACATCAAAGATTGTAACATTACAGCTACAGCACATAGGATGAAGGAAGGTAGCTTGCAACAAGTCACTGTTACTAATAAATACAACTCCAGATGTGACAATGTTGGCCATACGTTCAAAAAGACAAAAACCTTTGTTAGACAAAGCCACACAGATTCTTTCCTAGTTTCACACTGTAGTTCTTACTGTTTGCGGATAGGAGAGTGGACGTAGTCTGTCATAGTCCTCTTGACCAGCTGTATCCCACAAACCCAGATTGACCGGTTTTCCATCAACCATTACATTAGCGGAATAGTTATCAAAACTAAAAAAAAGTAAAGAAAGAGTTAGGTGCATTAGCTTGCAGTAAAATAGGGCACCGAGGGACTTTTTCCTACAGAGTCCTAATTGGGCACACTACAATAGGAAACATTTTTGTTGCATCCTTCTGCTTCCTAGAAACAGTAAAGTTGTTCTTAAATACTGAGCCTGGTATTCGGTAATGGAAGGCACAACAGACTTTGTCCAGTCTGAACAGAAGTCATCTTTTTCACTGCTCTTCCAAAGTAAGTGTTAATCTCAGTAAGTACAGGAAAGCAGGTGATGCACTTAGCAAGCACTTTCCAGTCTTAGCGGGACATTCAGCAAGTTAATCTGTCTCATTTTGTAAGATTTAGAATAGACGATACATGAGCAACAGCCAAGGAATCCTTAATGACAACAGTAGGTAAGAAAAAAAAAAAACTTATTAATCCTGCCAATCAAAAACCCCTCAGTATCAAAGTTAAGAACCAGGGGCCAGTAGAGGCATGATTTTTATCTCATCACTACTGTAGGTGCAAAGGTTTTAATGACTTGTTAAGGCTAAACTAAGTTCACTGGGAACAGAAGCATACTGTAATGCAAAAATCTAAATTTAACACCAAAAAAAGGAAACAGGAGTAATCAAGACAGCAAGGTCTTGGAAGGGTAACTAAATGCATCTGTAAATCACATTAGAATGTATTTTGTTATCTGAAAAACTCATCAATATTTACTGAGAGCAAGATAGCCAGATAAATATAGACACATCCAAAAAGGGCAAAGAAGCTGCTCGTGTACAAAATGCCCCCCCACCCCCCACCCTCAAAAAGAGAACTACACTAATACTGATACTGAAAAATCCTTACATGCAAGAAAATGGGAAGCACCAAAATAAATGAATCCCCACAATCACGCCTGAGGAGCTATAGAGCTGTGGCTGGCTTAGCACAGGATTGGCAGTAGCACAAAAAGTGGAAAGAACAAAAAAAAAAAAAAACAAAACCCACACACACCAAAACAAAACCCAACAACTCTAGTCATGTAAGCCAACTATTTCTGACTATGATACGACGTTTTACAAGCTGTTCAGCCTTGGGACTGCTTATTATGAATGATATTAAATAGAAATAACACATTATTTTAAAAGAGAACAGCATCTGATAAAATGTTAGCAAATGTTACTCCCTAATAAGCTAGGCCTAGTGAGCAGAGAGAGGCAAAACTGATGGAGCATGAACAAGCACTGGTATGACTGTGCTAAGCAGCAAAAGCCCAAAGTGCTTCTCCTTACGCACACCTAGATACTCAGTTAAACATTTAAGATGAAACTGAGCGGTGCTTGCAGCCAATTCAAACAATTCAAATAAGGAATCTGGAATGGCAGTAAGCGCAGAGAAGTTGACATAAATGATGTTTTAGGATTTTATAAGTACTTACACAGTGGGTATATATTCTCCAGGAAATGCATTGGTTGTGTAACTGATGAGTAGGCATGTTTTACCTACAGCACTGTAAAGAGAGAGTTCACATGTAAAAAACATTCACCTTGAATAATGAGAAATAATATTCCTTTTAGGGAAGAAGACTGATTACATCCAGTCATCTAAGGAACAACTGAGTGTCAGCAGTTGCTATTGTGCAGGAAAACAGCTAACAGACTGTAGCCTTAAGATTACTGGCAATGAAAACACACCTAATATAAACATCCATTTTGTGAAGTGGTAAATTACCAAATTTTGTTAATCTTTAGACAAAAAAACCCACAAGTATTAATAAGACTGCTAACATCTGCTAGTCACCTGACTGAATACTCATCAAGACTGCCTTACTCTAACTCCCTGAAATTAAAAAAAACCCTGAAAAGTATTTCCAGATACCCTTTACACAATTCCAAAACACTTATCTTTTCCAGAAAATGGTACTTTCACACAAGTAAAGCTTGAAAAATCTTGAAAAGTATAATTTCTCAACACATCGTTACTTTTGAGTATTTGAGGAACAAATACAAATTATAATCCTCACAATATTTATTGCTATTGCAAAATTACTTCCCGCGTGCATTCATCAACTATTTAAACATTTCATAAACTGATTTATAGATAAATTACACTCCAATATTGGAGAACTTGGAACATTGAACCTTTCCCCACAGATCTAATTCTGTACAGCCTCAAACAGGGGCAGGACAAGGTTCTGTTCCAGATTTCCTTCAAAACTCTGGCAGCCAGCTCCTTCCCTCTCCACCCCACATCTTATCTGGAGTCAAACATTAGATTAACAACACCATTGAATTTCTGTTACAGTTTCAATTAAAGGGTTGGAAAACTTTAAATTGGACCGTATTTCTTTTTTAAAATAGAGTCTGCAAAGAGTGTTTCTGACACTGCAGACTGGTTCCCATGCTGGCTTCTCACTTGAGGTGCATAATCCTTTAACAGCGTGAGAGATACCAGAAGTGAGTGTCCAACTAGTTCCTCAAAAGCAATAATGCCCAGACAGCCTTACAGTCTTCCCGATCACTCTTCTCAAACAGACAAACTTCCATGCAAGGAAAACTGTGTTGTCTTGCAGATGTTTTATCACTACAATGATTTGCTCAAAGCAAGTCGGCAGTAACTTCGAAACCTTACTGTACTTACACGTATAATCTTGCCTTTAGTATTAGGTTTGACTCATGAGCCTCCTGAACTAAATCTTTCACAACCTGAACTAAATCTTTCGTTAAAGTTATAGTCTAGAACTACACTCAATATTAAAAAAAAACCCCACACAAACACCAAACAAACCACAAACCCAACCCAAGAACCAAATGCTATTGCTAAAAATAACCTATTATCTTTTAGCTTTTGCAGAAGGAAAAAAAAAAAACCTCACAGAAACAAGCTTTAGTCAAGGACTTACTAACTCTCCAGCTGCAAACATTCTGAGGCATTCATATCTAGATTTCACTATGTATCTTTCACTTCAATCATTGCATTTCTTCTCTTGGTTTGGAAGCACGTGTACCGTCCCTTCACTTACCAAAGACCGTCTTCAAAATGATTTAACACTCAACATTAACCAACCAGCCTTACCTAGTGACTCACAATTTAAGGCAGGTTAAGTAAATTTGATCTTTGTCACAACCATAAGTTGCTGTGTATGTTGTAGCTCAATCCACAACAAGTCTCTCCATTAAACTTTAAGCAGTTCCATACTGCATTAGCCCAAGAAGTTATTTGATAGCAGCATCTGACAACATTATCTTAAATGCTTGAGCTACTAAAGAGTTGCTTCAGTGTGCAAAATTACATAGGATTTTATCCTACATGCCCAATTTTTAATTGTAATTTTATGTTTCTGAGCTGACACCTAGCATAACATCCCATCTGCTGCAACTCTCTCTCATCATACCATGCAGTTTTCCACACTACTTTTCACACCTGCTTCTAAGGAAACAAGATGCCAGTTCCTTGCACAGCCTGGGTTTTTTTTTTTTTCCTTTCAACATGCACTCTCCTGTAACAACAACAAAAAGGGGAGATTTAATTCTGTTCTTAATAAGTACAATCTCTGAACATTTTCCTGTAGTAACAGGCTTGAGACACACTTGTGCTCAAAAGTAGGAGAGGGATTTACCATTCAAAAACTTCCATGGGAAAGAATTGGGGAGCCGTATGACAACACAGCTAATCTAATTTAACAGCTGTCAAAAGAGGAGATCCTATCTTATCTCTTGCACTAGCATTCACTGACTCTAACAAGCCAGAACAAGGAGTTAAGGAAAGCTATTCACTCCACCTCCCCCATAAGGACAACTTGCTATTTTAGCTCCCCGAGCTATCAGTTATATCAATTTGAATACACTGCTGAATTGCACTCACATCACTATAAAGCAGGCTATGCTGGTCCAGCTTATAAAGGACAAATGTGAAAACCTTCAAAATACCGAGAGGAGCAAAAGCCAGATTCTTTGGGAAAACTTCTTGAGGCGCAGAGGCTACGTGTTCTCACATTTCTATAACCTGTTCGGTCTGATGCTGCATTTTCAAGTAAGTTCATGACAGGTAATTTAAGCTTCTAACAAATTAATGTTGAACTCAACATTTTCAGCAGCGATCAAGAACTCTTCTCTGCACCCAGGCTCCTTTGCTCATCTTGCACTGAAACTGGTGAGTCTGCTCTGGCTAATCAAAACAGCACAGGAAGGAGGCGGTGAGATTTCATTCCAAGCTTAGAAGTGCCTATAGTGTGTTTCTGCAGCACCAATCAGCCAGAGTAATTCAAACAAGAAAAAACATGTTCAACAACCCTGTTTCAGACTTGCTCCATCTAGGTTTCCTGCTTTCCTTGCCTTTTGGCTCACTGCCCTACAAATTAGATCATTATGGTTGCCAGTCTTAAAAATAAACACTAATGCCTACCTTTATAAATAAAGTACATCTTCTAAGTACTTTATCAACTTTTTTAGACTTCTAACTACTGTATTAAAGAAACTCGCCTAAAGAGAATTCCAACTGTTTGGCAGAATATAAATCCTTGTACATAAAGGCTGAGACTAAGAAACTAAAATAACACCAAACCAAGATTAGTCATAACAAGATTTCTAGCAACTACTTAATCATAGCCCTGCCCACCCACTATTACATAAGTGAAACTAGTAACATTTGACTGTAATTAAAAATATGGCCTACAGAAATCCAGCGTTTTAACCACTTAACAGTAAGTGAAAGACTTACAAAAGACAACACTGAGTCCCTTATCGCTTCCAGGTACCATCCAGGAATCAAGGTATTTATATAACCACATATGTATTAATTCCTGAAAACAAAACATGTCATCTCTTTCCTGGGCTTATTTACACCAACAAGTTTTATGAAGTTTCCCCACTGTGTTAGAGCTGCTTGGAGCCATGTTATGTGACACGCACTGAAAATGCCGTTAGAGGATCTGCACCAGCGCCGCACAGATGGTTGAGAGTCTCCTGCTTTCCCACAACTAAAAACTAATCGTGAGAACTTAGTTCCCATTTGCAGCCATAGTAATGGAGACCACCTGAAGTAGTTGCTGGTTTAATTCCAGAAATGCTGATATCTACAAACAGGTGGCAGCCTTCATAAAAAGCTTTGATTATGTCATCTCTTTCTTTCTCTGATCCACTAGCAGAGAACTCCCTAGCAGACACGATGCACAACAGCCCAGGTCTTCACTCAAATGTCAAACAGTAGCTGAGATTTCTCTACTACCATCCTCAGACCAGAAGTTCAGTATTTTTGCTATAGCAGGTTTAGTTACATACAGCTCTGCCAGATAAGCTGTTTTACTCGCTATGACACACCGTCTCCCAAATATGCTGTTCAGCATCTACAATACTACTACATTTGTTAAACTTTAAAAGTTCAGTAACACAAGTTACTAAATTTCAAGTTACTGCACTCTCTACAGATTGCACTGGAGACACCTGAGGTGTTCAGCATCTTACACAAACACTGCACTACACTCAATAAGAAGCCAATTACCCTACCCCCGCCACTTCTCAACAAGCTTTCAAATCAAATACAGCATGGCTTTAGCAGACAAGGTCTCAAATTAAGCAGAATTCCAAACAGGGACTCTTAATTCACTGCTCTTGTTCTTGCAGTATTTCTACAACTAAAAAATGCCTACAAAAGAGCATGAAGTTTGACCATTTCTGTTGCATCTAGTAATCATTTCTCCAAAATGCAGAACTTCCCCTAACATTACACGACATCACTGGAGATTTCATACCACTTAACAGCTGCCTTTTTAGAGTGAAAACAAAAGCTGCTAAAAATAACTTACACCAATGCTTTTTCTCAAGTGTCAATCAACAGCAACTCTTGCAGTTACTCAAGTGGAGTGCTCTTCATCTGTCCTGCACATTCCTACTGCTCTATATCATCAAGCAGTCAAAGCAACAGTTGCCATTTATTTTTCCCCAAATAATCCTCACAGAGAAGAAAAAAAACGAAGGACAAAATATGATAGCAAAACTAGCATACATGCCATGTTTCTCTAGTCAAATTAGTTGTCTAAACAGATACTAGTCAAAGCTCTAAGAACAAACATGAGTTACACATGAGAAACAGCCTACTCATTTACAAATTAAAAAAATAATAATCACACAGGTACTTCTACAGCTTTGTTTATTTTGTTCCTAGCAGATCTTCGCGGAGGGTACATAAAACAATACCCAAGTTTTATATTACATAAGCAAATATTTAACTTACATTGTTTTACAGAAACACTAAAGCTTTAGCCTTATCTAAGCCAAACATTACACATTTCCTAGAATACCTGTAATGCTTGAACTTTTGAAGTGGCAGCAGCACAGAGAAACACAAATAGTTAAATATTTTTTAAAAACACTGAATGGAGAATGATACAAAGCTACCAAAAATGAGCAACAGTACCTGAACGGAACCTTAAGAGAGATTTGTTTCTAACTAAGGAGGAAGGAAAACAAATTAAACTATTGTATTTTGTTCACACATATGTACAAAACAGGTAGAATTACACCACTTTCATTTCCAAGACAAAG